AGCAGCAGGACCATGTCGTACAGCAGATGGAGTTACAACAGGTACTGGGTGGCTTGGGTTTTGTGTTCTCTTCCTGATACCGTAAAACGAGCAAGGTATTTATATAAGCGGAGACGGAGAGCCCTCTCCGGGGAAGCAGAAGCCCTTGCTGGTGCTGCTTCTGCACCCTGAAATACACCTCAGGAACATATAGGTTCTCAGGTGCTTAAGCGGTGGTGTTTGCTGTTGTTTGGAGAGCGAGATGTTTATTTCATCTCTCAGCTCTAACAAAACGGAGGATTGTTTCAACCACAGAGCAGTAAGATGCAAGCGTTTCCTGGACTGTCTTCTCAGAATAGTTTAGTTTAAATCCAGCGATTAACCGACAGTTGCCAAGACTTACAGAAAGGTGCTGTCTGGTCAAAGCTGGCTCCTGGAAATTTTCTACAAATCAAGGCTTGGGAAATGACGGGGCCGGGGATTCTCAATGTGGGTAACTAGCGACGTTTTCAAACCGAAGCTAAGAAGAATGCTGTACGCTGTCTGTGCGCCTCAGAGCTAAAAGGGCCGAAGTAGGTCTCTTATTGAGACAGCTGAAATATCCATCCTATATTTATATTAAGATGCAACTATATATGCATTTTTTTTACTCTTTCTTGGAATGTATAATGGAAAATTATTGTACCATTAGTTGTGCTTTTGTGATTCACGGTTGTGATTGACAGGTTCTTGAAGCCTAGTTAAAAGGTACAAACTTCACACTCTTCTTTTTGTCTATGTAAATGTTACACCTGGAACGGCATTACAGCATTATTAGCATCTAACTGAATCACTACTGCAAGCCACTAAATCATCTGAAGAAATAACCTTTGGAAGTGTTTTTCAGTGCTTAAACACGTATTCAGTGTCGCCCACATTGCCTGGGTGTGTAGGATTATGTGGTTTATACGTGTATCTGGAGAGTTGCACTTGCTTTCTGTACGTTCATATGCCTCAGCAGAAAAGAGGTACAAATGCATACTGTGGTGGTAGTGGGGACTGTGTCTTTTAAAAACAGGTATACATGCATGTATATGAAAAGATGAGTTATACAACAAGCCATGTTTTTTATGCATATATTCTCCCACACAGAGGATGCTGTTGATCAATGATGCCATGTCCTAAGTAACAGCAGTATTAATACCCTGTTGTGTTCAATTCTATTCCATATAATCCACGTTTGCAGCTGTTACAATGCAGAAGCTTAACCTGCAGTAAACAAAACAGAAATGTCATGAAAACTCATCCTGGATGCTTTATCCTAGTGCTATAACCTTTTGATTTAACCTTGTTTACTGCTTAAGATCTATTTCTCTGGTTCTCAGTCTTCATTACTGTGACAAAAGAAATCTCTAATTACTCTTTCTTAGCATTGCACTAGTAGAGATGCTGCACTTGCTTCTCTGCCCTATTTGGGGTTTTTACCTGAGGGGAGAAATGCAGTATTTCAGTGCCCAATTTCCAGACTATGAAATTCTTCATAACAAATACAAGCTACATGAACCAAGGCCTCTGTAATTTAACTTTCTTTCAATTGCTAGTGCTAGAAGGCTAAGGAATGAATTGTTGCTTTTACTAAGTCTTCCCTTTCTGAAATGGTGCCGAGTTGTTCTTGTACAATGAAATCGTCCTCCCACATCCATCTTATGCCCAGTCCTATTATATGAGAAAGAAGAAACCCTTTTTATCTAACCCCTTTTTGCTTGTATTTAGAACGTGTTCAGCTGCCTCAATCTTGATCTTGCTGAGCAATGACAGAAGAAAGGTTTGGGGGGAACTTTACGTTGGCAGGAATTCACTTCAGTAATAAGTGAATGCCGTTTATGATTTAACGGCAATAGTACACGTGTGGAGAATGTCCTTTCTTACAGATGTTTTTGTTTTTCTTGATGTTACAAGTATACTAATTTCAGGCTTGACAGGTGACATGTAAGGAAATTCTCAGTGTAGATCTTTGCAGTTTCCTGGCTGTTCTGCGAAGTGTGGAATGCACCAGCCAAAGGTACGGTCTGCTCAGTATTTCAAACACGCTTCCCCCACTTTCATAAACAGGATTTCTCAAGTAAAACAAGTGAGGGAAGGGGTGAATGCTACTCACTGTGTGTGTTTAAAACTCAACTTTCTATTGAGACTGGAAAAAAAGGGGACATGCTTGCCTTTCTTTGAGCACTTAAGGTGCTCTCAGAAGCTTGAGGACATGAACTCATCCCCTGGTGCTTTCATCTGGTGGTAAGCAGTGTGTGGTTCAGACCTAGAGACTGACTTAAACCCCCGTGAAGACTGAGATTCTCATGTAATTACTTATGTGGCTGTTGGGCCTTTGACAAAAACACGAAATCATTGTAAGACTTCATGAACATTGCATATTAGTACAGTGGGATGTGGGAGCTTTGCTAGTCAAGTTAAATAACATAATTGGCTTCTTCCTCAAGCAGAACTTACAATGTTGTGCATGAAATGTAACTGCTCATAAAACAGCATTAATGGTACTTAACCGCATTTATGAAGTACTGTGAAATCAAGTGATGATGCTTGTATTATTCTTTCTCCAAATAAAGCAGAACTCCCTGATGTTTGTCAGGAGTGAGGGGACAGCTGCAGTGGCAATGCTGTCACCAGGAATCACAAAATGGTGCAAGCGCAAGCAGGGTCCTTTCTCTGTTGCAGCATGTTTGGGGCCAGGGCTCCTCAAACACAAGCTCGTGCCAAAGGTAACGCGATGAGTTGCCAATGCTTTGCTGTTCTGTAAGAGGGATCCTATTGTAAATAAAGTGTAGCATGTGTCACAGCATTTCCAGAGATGGAGCGATACCTGCGCCGGCTGAAGGTCCTGAGAGGATTAGCTTATCTTCACGATGACCTCTAGATGCCAAATATTGCTTTGGTGCCTTTCATTTGTACTATTTGCACTGACTTTTTTTCACTTGAATGTTATGGTTTTGGGTAGGAGGTCTTTTAATTTTGAAGGTGAGTGACTTAAGAGTTGGAGAGGGAAAAGACCTCGAAAGGCAGAACTGAAGGAATAACGCACATTTAAATTTGCAGGTTTTTGCTAACATCTATTTTAATTATAGAAATGTTCCTCCTGTACCTGTCAACTCTGAAACTCTGTTGAACAGGCCCTGGGTCACCCTACAGGTTTGCAGGTGGGGGAGCCCCTTTAGGAAGGAGGGAAAAGGGTCTCGGAGATAAAGGGGGAAAGGAGATATTGGCTCCAAGTTAAAGCCTTGGAGAGGGGAGAAGTTTGCCCCTTGCAGCAGGACTGACAGTAGCTAGATGGGAGAGCATAACTCATTTTCTTTGAGTAAATATTTAGTCCTAGTTACTGGGTGATCTGGATGAGTCACTTTGCTTTTTGCCCATTTCCTCCTCTCTTTCCTAGTGGCGCAAGGGGCTTAGGCCATATATCTGTCTATATTGAAGTGTTTTGCAGTACTCTGGACAGGCCAAATACTGTGTTAAAGCTGATTACTGCTGTGTTCTTCTCCAGACACGCATTGAATTTTTTTCTATCTTGGAGTTAGCCTCTATGAATCAGCATTATAGTTAGATAGATGGGGCTGAAGGAGCAGGTTCTGGTTCCCATAAATACTGTAGCATCTATCATTTTAGAAAACGTTCATAGTTGATTAAATAGGGTGAAGGGATGGGATGGAGGGCAATACGGTTACGGAGTCCAGGCTCTGTAAATTGCATGGTGGTGGAAAGCCATAGGAAAAGGAGGAAGTTACTGTATTCCTTACTTCCAAATGTTCAAGCACGTGCCTTGCTGACTAAAACACTTGTTTGTTACAGAATGCAGACGTTTTTCTAGAGGGGGTTTAACGTTTGTTATGTTTCTCAGAATTTGACCCTGTCATTGAATTCTTTTCTTTGACTTCTTAGCCATTGCTGTGTAAGATTTCTCTATAGGGAAAAACACTGCTCATTCTGTAGGCAGCTTATGGAATGCAGAAAAAGTCAAAACACTGAATATCAAACCCTAGGTGAGGGAAACCCCATGCGATTAGAAGAGACCATTCAACAAAGTTCACCTCAGCTGCTCTTTGTGGCAAAGGAAAGCTTTTTTTTTTTTTTCTCCCTACTAAAGCAGGTTTGTGTGTCTATGAAAAAGAAGTGGCTGCACTATGAAAATGTTCTTAATGAGCAAGTGTGGCATTTCCATGTCTCATAATTGGCCTTCCTGAAAGGCCAACTTTATTTTAGACATATCTTTGCCTTCCTCCCATTTCGGAGTTGTGATAATTTGTTTATCACTCTGTTGACTTTCTAAAGCAGAGGATAGACAGTGATTTAAAGAAAAACTGGGGATACTTCCAGTATTCTAGAAATACTTGGGATTTCTGAAGTAATTTGGCTAATTCCTAGAGTGAAATAATTCTCTTCTTTCATTCTTTGCACTCGGTGAGAGATTACTTTCTGGTAGGGTTACTATTTCATCTCTATTAAATTAATGTTCCTCCTGAGCTGTGTGCTATCAGCTAAACATGCATGTGGCCTTCTGATGTAAAGAAATATTTGTTCTCAGGCACAGAGCTAAGCTTACTCTTTTTCTTGTCCTCAGTTTTCAATGCTGTGCATGTTCTTGCAGCTGGGCCTTTGCAAGCATTGCAGCCTGCTCGTCCTTGCTGACCAGTCTGGAGGCACCCTGCTGACAGAGGGTCCTGTTTTGTCACTGGCGCTGCTCAGTACCTGGCTCTCAAGGAAGCAGCCTTTACAGATCGTGCTCCTGGGGAAAAAGTGCTCTGATCGGTGACCTCAGTTCGCTCATTTCAGATTTCATCTATGCAGGCGTAATGGCTTTTGTGAAATATTCTTTGGGTTAACCTGTGATTAGTCTTAGTTAGGTTCAATATACTTCTATAGAAGTTCATGATCTTTATGTAGGGAATTGTAAATTTAAGAGGCTGTGATCTGACCTATCACAATTGTTCCTGGTACCCAGTGCTGATCAGGCAGGCCTTGAATGCTGAATGAAGTTGACTTCCCCTAGGCTACTTGCACTAAGAGTGGATGAATGGAG